CCGGATCAATCCTCTGTCTGCCCTACCTCTTGAAAATTTTCTGGCAGGGCCGAAACACAGCTGTACAGTGAGATCAGGACTACAGTGTGATTTAAAGGGACTACTTGCGGCTGTGCTGGAAATCCGCAGCCCCATGGAAGCCCCATGGCAGCCCCATGGCAGCCCCACAGCAGTGTGAGATGGGGAAAAAATGGCAGCTTCACAAAGAACTGTGTTGAGATGGGTACCACCCCTTTGCCCATCCTCTGCCCATTGTCCCTCCCTCCCTGGGTGACCCTAATGTGATCAGAAATGTGTTCACATTAGTTCAGCATGGTTGCAAACCAGTTCTTTGCAAAATAACCTGTAAAAGATTCGTCTTCAAAAGAATCGGTTCAGGAGGATTTGTGCATCCTGGTTCTGCCTGAACACAATTGGGTTCCAAATTAACTTGAGTGTGAACGAGGTACAAATAAACTGGCTTGATCCAATTTGCAAGTCAGTTTAAATCATAGTGTGAATTAGGCCAGAGAGAGAGAGAGAGGGCGTTTTCACACGGGGCTTTAGGAGGACGCAATCCTACCTCCGTCCGGCCCCACTCCGGCTCCATTTCCAGCGTGTTCACACTCACGCCGGTGCCATCCCTGCGTCCGTCCGGCTCCTCGCTCCATGTGTTCAAACGCACGGAGCAGCAAGTCCGGCCTCCCTCCGGCCTTACCACCGCTAACTCCGGCTTCAGCGGCTTAAAGGTAATTCCGGGTTTTAAAAGGAATTAAGTTTTTGCCACCGGAGCCATTCCGGAATGAGCGGCTCCAGGCGGCTTTAGGGACTAGTGTGAAAACATCCAGAGAGCCTGGCACCAAGTGACTGAAAATAATACTGCAGACTATTGTTGCATGTCTTCAAGTCATTTCTGACTTACAGCGACCCTAAGGCAAAGCTATCAAGGGGTGTGTGAGGGATATGGACCACACTGGGTGACACCTCAGAGGGGAAAACACCCAGTCATGCCCTCTGGCTGCTGTAGCCACTGGGAGCACAAGGTCAGTGCTGCTGTCACCTGGCAGACCCTTCTGGGTCTGGCGGGTCTGCTGGCTGCCTGGAAAAGGGAGGTGCTGGCAGCAATAGCAGCATAAATGGTGCCACAGATTCTTCCCCTTCCAGTCATCATTGCCTCCCTTTCCTGCCTTGATGGCTGCTAGGCAGTAGCAGCAGATCATCCCAGCCACTGACACCCACTCCTTCTTCTCTGCTGCCTTTGTTCTCTTGGCCAAAAGAGCCAAGTCTACAGAGAATCAGATGGCAGTGGCACAAGCCAGTTGCAAGCTCACCACAGTTGCTGGTACCTGCTTGCACAATTTGTGAAGGTATAGAAACTTCTAATTCTGCATTTGACAGCTGATTGTCCTCAGTGTCTGTAAGCTGCCACATATTCACTTTCAAGTGAAATCTTTGGTCCTCATATCCTGCTGCAACCTTCCAGAAAGTGTTTCCCTCCAGATATTTTGGAATACAACACTCATCAGGCACAGCCACCATAGCCAATGCCCAAGGATGGTGGAAGTTGTGGTCCAAGATATGTAGAAGGATAGGTTGCAGAAGGTGTCTAAGTGTGTGTGTGTGTGTTTGTATGCATCTTCTAGACCTGTTGTCCATCACTTGCTCTATGATTTCCCCTGTATTGAATTACAGATTGTAAACAGACTGGACAGGGACGAAGTCCCTACACAGTTATGGCACTATGTTGTTGTTACGTTATATGGACATAACATTCTGAGGACTCTCACACACTGGACTTCACATTGCTATCTTCAGAATCAGGATCCCTTGAAAATATCCAGATGATTATGAAATACATTTTGCTGACCTCCTAATGGATAAAGCCTTTCATCCACAGATCAGTATCTCTGGATTAGAACCATGGACATGAATGAGACCTCAGTATTACAATTCCAGAGAAACTGGTTTTTGTTTGTGGTTTTTAGGCCACAAAAACTTGCCAGGGGGAAGAGCCAGCTCCAAATTTGGTAACACGTTGGGTAAATGCCCTTTGGGAGAAAGCTTCTACTTTCCATGTACCATGGCATGCTGACCTGGCACTGGGAGGGTCATAACAACAGTACTTCAAGTATAATGGGGCAAGTGGATCTAACCCAGTACTGCCTGAACCCAATATCCTACACCAATAGGTGTTGGGCAACATCCCCACCATCCCCAGCCTTTATGGCCATGGTGACTGAGGCTAAGGAAAATCCAAGATATTGGGGGTGCCACCATTATTACTCACAATGCCCTGGAGAAACACAGTAGCTAAGGCAGAACTCATTAATAGTCGGGAGTACACAATACAGTACTTATAATGTGTGAATGGTTTTAAAAATCCTTATCCTTTCATCTTTCATGAAGTTGACTAGGGTTATATCAACAGTTTTACCCCTGAGAACTTAATATAAGAAATAGTAACTTGCAAAAGATTAAAGGCCATTCAGTGTCTTTCAGGGGTTAGACTGGCTACATAGTGCAATAACACTGGCAAAGAGGAATGAATCAAAACACTGTGATGGCCATCCTATTCTTGACTGGCTTCCTGTTCAAGATAGTATATTGTTTCCTTCCCTTCTCCATTATAACATGGAGGTAGATTTATATTCTCCATCTGTAAAATGGGCTGTATCTATCTGTTCTGCAGGAAAGGTGCCATGAAAGTATCACTGTTTTATTGTTGGATTTTATTGGCTTGTCAGCGCTACATGTATGGTTTGTTACAGGTATTAGCCTGTTAAAACACCCATTGCTTAAGGGCAGAGAAAGACAGGAAGCCAAATCTCAAGGTACAGATAAGAAAGAGTATTATGCAGGGTGAGTCTCCCTAATCCAGAATGCTTGGGGCCAGAGGTGTTTCGGATTTCAGGGTTATTTATTTATTTATTTTGGAATACCTGTATTTGCATATATGTACATAATGAGGTATCTGTGAATGGGACCCAAGTCTAAACACAAAATTCATTTATGTTTTACATACATCTTATAAATATAGCCTGAAGGTAATTTTAGACAATATTTTTAATATTGATGCGCATGAAACAAAGTTTGTGTACCATGAACCATCAGAAAGCAAAGGTATCACTATCTCAGCCACCCATGGAAAAGGTTTTGATTTTGGAATATTTCAGATTTCAGAATTTCAGATTACAGAGATTCAATATGTAGAACCATGTCATTAGTTGGAATACAATCTAGCTATTCATTGCTAGTCTTTGGCTACACGTGCCAGATTTCTTTCCAATCTGGTTTAGCAACAGTTTCTAAAATAAAAGCAGATCACAGGCTTCATTATGATATTTCATGAACTGGGACATCATTCCAACTGAGGTGGTAAACCTGAGACTAACTATTCCACTGTAAACCAGAACTTGGGAAAAATATTTTTAGACTTCACTTCCCAGAATCCCCCAGCCAGCATGGCCTGTGACCATGCTGGCTGGGGAATCTTGGAAGCTATAGTCCAATTTCTTCCCCTAAACTTGGTTTAAGATTGGTCTAGATCCTTTTTCCGTTTTTTGCAGGGCTCTCAGACAAGTCTTCTTAAAACGTGTGGGGCTGGGGGTATTTTCAGCCTGTGATGAGGGACTGGCAGTGATAGTACTTCCTTCCCTTGCTGATCCATAAGCCTGCTGGGTTGATTTCACATTTCTAGTCTGCCAGAAGGGAAGGAACTGCAGCACAGTTGCCTTGCGTTCCTTTTGGCCCAGCCAAAACCACCCTGCCCTGCTGCCTTGATCATGGAGGAAATGGAGAACAAGAGAGTTGTGCTCTGTTTCTTCATCCCATCAGAAAGTACCCAAGGATCTTTTATGTGAGGTGCACAAAGTGCAGTCCTCTAGATGTTGCTGTAGTGTAACACCCAGCAGCCCTAGGCAGCACATACAGTGGTGAGGAATGTTGGGTTATGCAATCCAACATCATCTATTGGACTGGAATTTGTATATTCCTGCACTAAATCATCATGGGTACCTCTGGGTTCAGGTCGTTATTTTGGGTTGCCATGTGCTATAGTATAGTATAGTATAGTATAGTATAGTATAGCAGCTATACTTTACAGAGGACAGTCCTCTGTTTTTCTGTTTGACGGGCCCTCCAGTCCATGCCTGGTTTAACAACTGTTGTGTGGAGCTGAGTGTGTGACTCCCCAAGATCACCCAGTGGTTTCCATGGCCGAGAAGGGAATCAAACCCTGGCCTCCAGAATTGTAGTCCAAAGCTCAAACCACTACACCATGCTGGCTCTTGGTTTAAAGAGAAGGAAGCCATCCAACACCAGTTTGCATTTGGACCACAGACTGAGCAGGCACACACATCGACTGGCCATAATCTTACTCATTATGGTCAGAAGTACTTCTCCTAAATTTGCAACTATAAATATAAATTAGCTTATGCAGATTTTATGTAAATCCATGGCCTTTTTTCTGATAATGCTTTATCTGTTAGGGGCAGATTGCCAACTTAAGGTTCTGACAGATTTTGGCTGCATTCTTTCACAGAGAGGTAACAGGCTTACTCCTCTCCCTGATCTGTGGGTCTTGGCAAATGCCAGGCCATCATGCCATCCTGAAAATGCTTGTGTGATTGGATGGAGCTCATAAACATTCCTCTATGCCAGGGGTAGGCAACCTTTCCCCTTTAAGGGCCGAGGGACTTCAGGTCCCAGGATCCCAGGAGCTATTGGCCAGCATGGGACTATTGGCCAACATGGCTGAGGCTTCTGGGAGCTGAAGTCCCTCGGCCCTTAAAGGGGAAAGGTTGCCTACCCCTGCTCGATGCAAAAGCAATTCACTGTAAGAAGAAAACCAATATATAAGAGAGAAGGCCAGGCCAGAAAATTTCACCCCAAAGCTGCTTAGCTTTTTATGTGCAGGACACTTCCTCCTTCAGGCTGCATCTGCACTGAAGAAATAATCCAGTCTGACACCACTTTAACTGCCATGGTTCCTTGCATTCCTTTTGGAGTTATGGAAACTGTAGTTTTGTGAGACATTTAGCCTTCTCCATGGTGCCATAGTAAACTACAAATCCCAGAATTCTATATAGCATTGAACTATGTCAGTTAAAGTGGTGTCAAACTAGATTATTTCTGCAGTGTGGATGCACCCTCAGGAAGCAGTCATTTATGAGCATGTAGCTCCCAAATCAGCAGGTTGGTAGTTTGAGGCTTGGGTGCTGCATGATGGGGTGAGCTCCCACCACTAGCCCCAGCTTCTGCCAACCTAGCAGTTCGAAAGCATGCAAATGCAAGTAGATAAATAGATACTACTTTGGTGGGAGTAAACAGTGTTCTGTGCAAACATGCTGGCCACATAATCACAGAGTAGTCTCTGACAATGCTGGCTCTTCAGTTTAGTAATGGAGATGAGCACCACCGACTTGACATCCTTGTCAATGAGGAATGACTTTACCTTAGCTCCCAAAGCTGAAGTGGTAGAGCCCAAAAAAGTTAGGGGAGAGTTGGGCTACAGACGCTAAGCACAAGAAATGCAGGCTTGTTGTGACTGTAATTTTGCAACTACATTTAGTCATGTTACTGCATAGTTTCAGTGGTGCAATCAATCAAAGCAAGCTCAGCTGTTATAAAGTCATGCTGTCACCTCTTAGCACTGTGTCCTAAGAGAGAACTGACCGGAAATTTGGATTGGACAGAAGCCCAGACAGTCTCCACCTGTGAACTTCCTTCAGTTCTCCCTCTCCCATCCCCTGTCCTCTCCACCACATGTATACTAATGCAAAAATGATACAGCAACCATTCTTAATAATAAAGAACAATTAAGTTGCCAGTCACACAATCAAGTCTAATGAAGGGCAAGTGTGTTCAATCAGAGCCCTTTGATTTAAGCCATAAACAGATACTGCTGGCATAAATATCCATGTGCTTAATTGCTGTTCTTTCCATGAACAATCAGACAGCAAGCAAAGGGCATGCTGGGGAGAACCTGACCCCTTGTTCTTGAACTAGAGAAGTAAGAGGCAGACAGTAATTAGTGACAAAAGTACATTGTGCTCATTTTTCTTCATTTTATTCCCCATATTCCAGAATGGAGCCCAAGAGCTGAAGACAAGAGATTCTGAGAAACCGAATCATGCTGATGCCTGGCACAAACTAAGCTCTGGGTTTACTGATACAGAGTTAAATTCTTTTACTGACTTATGGAGTGCTATGCATGGGATTAGACTGCATTTGCTGTCTATGACATATCTGCTTTTATCAATCTAATTTATACCCTTTTCACTCTCTCTCTCTCTCACACACACAGAAAAACACATCCAGGGAGCCAGCATGGCATAAGAGTTTGGTTGTTAGACTTGGACTTCAGGAAACAAGGGTTCAAATCCCCATTTGGCCCTGGAAACCCACTTGGGCAAGTCACGTGTCTCCTAAAAGGAAGGCGACGGTAAATGTCCTCTGAAAAAAAAAATCTTACCCAGAAAACTCTATGATAGGGTTGCCATAAACTGGAGTCCACTTGAAGGCACATAAAAGCAGCAACTTTTTACCTCTCCCAAAATGGGCTCAATGATAAGGGAATAATAAGCAGGCAGGTTACTTCTAAGAACAAATGCTAGTAATTCAAGATACTCTCTATTGTATCCGTTCATACATTTCTTTTGATGTTGCATTGTGGGACAAATTCATAATCAAGGCAACAAATATTTCAGAATAAACTTCTAAACTTTTCACCATCTAAATTCTTCCACTAAGGGAAGGAGAAGGAGGGAAACTGCTTTCATCTGAAACCATCCTTCTTTCTCAACTTCTGAGGCCATAAAGGCTGTACATCTGAACCAGAAGTCCCTGAAAGGGTTTCCATGGGAGCCGACATTCCATTGTTGGAGAGTCATACAAGAGAAGAGGGTTTTTTCCCCCCCAGAGCAGGCGGGACTTGGCAAAAGTTTGAAAAGTTGATATGTCTCTGCTCCCCCTCCTCTTGCCTATGTGGCAGACAATGGCTTTGTTTGAAGAGCTTCATGGAACTGTGCATGCATTTACTCTAATCCCTTACACACACACACACACACACACACTTTTTCCAAACTAAAAATGTTTCATTTCTTTTCCTTCCTTCCTTCCTTCCTTCCTTCCTTCCTTCCTTCCTTCCTTCCTTCCTTCCTTCCTTCTTTTCTTTCTTTCTTTAATGCTACTTGAGGAGAAAGACTAGTCTGGCCAATGGAATTCTTTTTCTCTTTGCCTCAGATGAAAGTTCTCCTCCTTGGCACTTAAATTTCAACCTGCATTTTACAGTGAGCTATTTTAGTGAAGTTTCTGGAACAAAATAACAACTCCAAAAAAAGAAAGAAGGGAAACAACCGAACTGTATTTATTCTCCATGGTTTGGAGCGGAAGAGGCAGCTCCTGCCTTTAAAGGCAATTTAGCAACTGCTCAAAAATAGGTTTGCAACATCCTGGCTTGACATTAATTCTCCTCCTGGTACCTCTTCCAAACTCTGTCCTAGGCAAAACAGTGAGCAAGTAAGGACAATGATAGGGAGGAGAGGGTATTTTACTACTCCCTAGTTCTTTTAATGGGCTAAATTTGCTAAGATAAGTCCTCTTGACAAGTTCAGTTCCTCAGATGCCCTGTTGCTTGACCTGCCCAATGACTGGATGTATTCCATGTGCCAACTCAATTAATTAGCAGGGGAATTAATTGTGAAATCTTTGAGACAGAGTAACAACTTCCTGAGAAATTACTGTAGCCTCTTCCAAGAGAGAGTTTATATGTATATGTATATGATGAGTAAATTACATTGATGTCTAGGCAGAAGATTCCTTTTTTAAAAAAATATTGTCATTCTAAAGTTATTAACATGCCTCTGCTATAAGAAAACACTGCATAACAAAAGTAGGGCACAGCAAGCAAAATATTCAAGAACACATTTGCAAGGGAAAGTAAAACAGAGAATACTTCCACACATAATACAACTGCCTAGTTTTACAACTATTAGTTTATGATTCAGATGCTGATCCTAGATTTTTTGCAGATTATGACTTGTTTGCTTAGTCCTGAGAAAGGAAGTTGAGCAGTGAGAAATAGCAGAAAGCAGGATAATGGGAAGAAAGAAAGAAAGAAGGTTATATGCCATACCTCAAGGACAGGGCGATGGAGCTGAGAAAACTTCAGCCTCTTCAAGGGTCTGAAGGAATCTAAATGTCTTTGAAGGTGGCAACAGGAAAGCGTTTCAGAGGTTGGCTGGGCTGGGTTTCTTTCTCCTCCTCCTCTATTTTCCAAATCTGTGTTTTTTTCTCTCTCACTACAAGTGGGCTGCCTTTCACCTCCCCCACTTCTCCCTAAATATATTCTGAGGCTGTGGCCAAAAGCTAAAATGATAGACCAGAGCAATCAAGTCATGGCAGAGGAAAAACACTGCCTTTAGAGCGTCTCTAAAAGTAGGATAAACAGAGGCTATGAAGTGATGGCTGCATTTCTAGCAGAGACTGCTGAATGTCATATTCCAGTGGGATGATTTTACTTTCTGCCTCCAGAAGAGATCTAATGACTTTTGGAAATAAATATCCCCCAGAAATCATGTCAGTTTGGGGGACACAGTTTTACAGTTGTTTGTGCAAACAAGGAGGATGCAGAATAGTTGGGATAGTGTGTATATTGATGTACAACTGAGCTAAAGAATCCAAACATAACTATACTGGGGGGGGGGGATAACTGCAGTTGTGGCCTTGCAGTGAATAAAGCCTAAATCCCAATGGTCCTGATAATTAATTGTTGATGAATCAACGTATAGATAAATCCCATTGATTCAGTGGGGTTACACTAGTTGGGATCAACCAACAGGATTTCAGCCAAGATTTGCAGTTTGGCCAAACAAGTCTGCAACAATATTTATTTGCATTTGTAGATGTTGCTTATTTGCTTTATACACATGTCCCCTCCACACTGATATAATCTATAGTATATGTTATGTATATATTTCAGGATGAAACTACATGCTACTCGACACAATAAACAATCTCCTCCATCACATATAGCTCAATTTACTTTGCCTCTGGATGCCCACCATCCACCCATAGACAATGATGGAACCAATTTAATGACACCAGGTGTATATAGTATTGAAGTGGGAGGACATGAGACGACAGCATGTTGTTGTTGTGTACCTTCAAGTAATTTCTGACTTATGGTGAACCTAAGACAAATCTATCATGGGGTAAGATTTCTTCAAAGAAGGTTTGCCTTTGCCTTCCTCTGAGACTGAGAGTGTGTGACTTGGCCAAGGTCACTCAGTGGGCTTCCATGGCAGTGGGGATTGAATCCTGGTCTCCAGATTCATAGTCCAGCACTCAAGCCATTAAACCACACTGGCTCTGTCGATACAGCATACCTTCCAACATTTTACAGATGAAAACTAGCACATGTGTGACCAAGCAACTTCAGGTATGTATGGTCAAGATGATGAAAGTTATTAATGCACAAACTTGGACAGGCTGCAGTAGTTTGCTTTGCCTGAGATTACTGGGGAAAAGCACAATTTCAATCTTTCTCTCTCCCCACCCCCAAGTTTATTGAATACAAAGTACTTTTGTACTGTGAACTCTGTTTTTAACAAATGAGGTGAGGACAAAAAGAGAAAGCAGGTGGAAGAGAGAGTAAGTGGGACATTTTAAAAACATCTGGGGAAAAAATAGGACAACAGAGAATTCATAGGAACTGTCCCTGCCAAATCAGAACAGCTGGGAGGACTGCTTGTTTGTTCTTTCTTGGTAGCATCTTGTATGGAGATTTTGTAAGGAATCAGCCTAACCCTGAATAGGTGGCCTTCATGTGTGAATTGGCCCTAGGGGTACAGGAGAGCAGTATATCTGTTCTTAAAGAAGGAGCCAATTTGCTGGCACAGTAAAGCTGCCCCGACCTTGTTTGCACATTGTAGCAACAAATCAGGCACAGCTTAAGTCCAGTGATTCCAATAGGTTTAAGTGCACTAATTCTGTGTTGGATAAGGGCCAGACAGTACGTAGTGAGTGACCACACGTCCCTTCTAATGCAAACTAGGGCCTGTGCATTGTATTAGTAAAATGTAATGTAAAACATGATTCTTTCAGCTGTGGAATGCGATAATTATGGTTTAGGACTCCTCTCTTGTTAGCAGAGTAGAAATGTTAGTAGAAATGTTAGTAGAGTTTGCATCAGGAGCAGGAGACATGTGGCCCTCTAGTTGTTGCTGTGCTGCAACTCTCCTAGCCAGCATAGTCACTGTTAAGGGATTATGGGAGTTGCAGTACCACAGCAACAGCTGAAGTGCTGGCTGTAGTTGCCCATCTGTTATTCAAGTGATTAACAAATAATCTCTTCTGAACACTGATTTATTCAGAAAGGCCACCTGATACAATGCCAGGAAGTTTTTCTTCCTCACCATATTTCAGCTACTTTGTGTTTTATAGTGTCTATTGTTTGTGTGCATTTAGAGCTGGATCTCACAAACAAACTCCAGCATCCCTGTAAATAACCTGCTATAACCTGGGGACAGTGGCAAATAGGCTCAGCATCATCATTTGGGCTAGTATGGGACTGTTGGGCATCACCCAGGCTTATGTAGTCACTTTAGATCCCTTTCTTTATCCATATTTTAAAACACAGGGGATAATCAACCCGACAGGGACATGGTTACTGGTGCTAACTTTACTAGTTTCATGTTAAATGTATGTGCTATTTTTCTACAATGCCAAGGGTCCTTTCACACTACACAATCACAGCACCTCAGTACCACTTTAATTTCATGGCTGCATCCAGTGGTATCCTGGGATTGATGTAGCACTAGGTCTCTCAGGCTGAGCATGCTAAATTTTTCCTGAAACTGCAACTCCCAAGGAATACATTGGATAAAATTTTTAAAGTTAAAGTGGAATTAACTGGAATTAGTGGAATTATAGTACAATAATAGTACTGTTGTACATAGTTTTTAAAACTTTTAAATCTGTTTTTAATCCATTGTGATGGTTAACATGTTTTTAGCTTATTTATATTATTTTTATTGTTTTAAACTGTTTAATTTGTTTTAACGGTATTTGTAAGCTGCCCTAAGATCTTTTGATATAGAGCAGGGTATAAATACCTACTTAAATAAATACAATAGTGTGAAAGGGCCCTAGCTAAATGTGCACAGCATCAGGGGAATAGAAGTAAAATCCCTTTTATTATTTATAGTCTTGATGGTGTTATGATTCAGGTGAGTTTAAATATAAAACTGCATATGTTGGCTTTAAAATTACTGAGGCAGGAGATCCCACCTATCTTGGAAGCTAAGCAAGGTTAGGCCTGATTAGTACTTGGATGGGAGACTGCCAACAAATATCAAGTGCTGTGGGCTATATTTCAGAGGACAGACTGACAAAATCACCTCCGATTATTCTTTGCCTAAAAAAAACCTTATGAAATTCATGGGGTCACCATAAGTTGACAGGTGACTTGAAGATACAATATAGACACATCACTGTCTAGTGTCTACTATATTACATTAACATGACCAAGTCAAGAGCTATATAAGGGACTAATAATGCTCCCAACAAAAATTGTTCCAACATTATGAGTATGTATTGAGGAACTTGTACAGTGCTCAATATGCCAGACTGCAAAAAGTAAAAAATATATGGGGTGTTTTGTCTCTCTAGAATACAAGTTTCAATTCTGATTGGGTCTTCCTTGTTTGTGAGATGGACTGCAAAACCTGAGAAGGGAGGTGGAATCCTTACTGGACTTTTAAATCATGAGATTGAATCATAATGTACAGCCCAGATGACAGCTATAGCATGATCTGCCTGGCCAGTAGATAATTTTGGGGTGATGAGAGAGGGAACAGCTGAGTAGCTATGATGTACAATAATGGCTGAGGAAATCTGAGCATTCAAATGGTAAAAGCAACGTTTTTGAGCTCTGGTACAACATTAGCCAAAGTGGTATCAACCAGATTACTCACAATGCATATTCAAGGAGGATACGATTAGTGACTCACTAGGCTAGTGGTTAATTTTTTCTGGATCTAATGTTTCTGGATCTAATGTTTATGGCTGATTACTCCATAACAATGATGGTTCACACATTCCATTCCGCTACCTATAAAGTTAAACTTTCCTTAAGAAAGCTGGGAAAGCCAAACTTCATGGCACAGTACCACAAGGTATTTCTGAATAAGCAAGGAGCTTATCTCAGGGCTTACTAAAGTGTCTTACCTCTCCCGACTTAAATTTCAATTCAGGCAGCATCCTGATACTATCACAGGGATTTTGCTGCTGAATCTGCCACTCGAATAAAGCCCAGGTCCATTCCTGCTCCCAGGAGCACTCCAGCAGTCATTTTCTTAAGCCAGAAAACTCCCGGTTTTGCAAAGATGTGCGCTGAGCACTCCTGGGAGTGAGGATGAACCCAGGCTGTATTCAGGTGGCAGTTTCGGTGGCAAAATCCTTGCAATAGTATCAGGATGCCACCCGCATTACAATTTAAGTCAGGAGAGGTAAGATGCTCTAATAAGCCATGAGGTAAGCTCACTAGTGTTGGCCTTAAGAAATATGAAAACCAGGAGGTAACAGATATGAAAATAAAGAGGCACTGGTGTCTTTGAATAGTGTCTCATCCTTTATTTATTTATTTTTTATTATATAATCAAAACAAAATACAAATACAAATACATCCACAATCCCATATATACAATATCTATCCCCCTCACCCATTCCACTATCATCAAATGCAATCTAATCTAAAATTCATTAATCCATTCATCCTACATCAACATTGTAACTTCATTACAGTTCTATTATTGAACAAGTTTCATTACAATTTATAATAATTCTGTTTCCTGAATATTCTGTCAATGATGACTTCCTTATGTGTGTCTACAATCACTTGTTTAGTTCTTCTATTTTATCTTACTATATATGTTTAAATTAAACTAATCCAGGGTTGTTTTCTAACCTCTTTTTTCTCTTAGGATTTCTAATTCTGTCTATTCTTCATCTATGCCATTATTTTTTAGGCTTAATGTAAGTTTATCTAGAGCGGCTGCCTCTAGTAGTTTGAAAAACCAGTCTTCTTCTTTGGGTGTATGTTTTAATTTCCAGTGTTGTGCATATGTAATTCTGGCCATTGTGACCATATATAGGAGTTTTTTTTAATTTGTGTCTTTCTTCGTATTGTCTTGATGTTAGTTGTCATGTTCAGTAAGAAGAATTTAGGGTCTGTTCAGTAAGAAGATTTTAGGGTCAGGTTTAACAGTTATCTTAAACATTTCACTTATTTGTTCTGCTACCATGTTCCAATATTTTTTTTACTTCCGGACATTTCCACCACATGTGGATGAATTCTGCTTCCGGGGGTTAGCATTTCCAGCATTTTGTATTGCTGATTTTATAAATGTTATGTATTTTGACAGGTGTTAAATACCAATGATGGAACATTTTAAGGTAGTTTTCTTTTAAATTCTGGCAAAGCGTAAATCTATTGGTGTTTTTCCATGATACTTCCCAGTATTCTAAATCTATTTGTTCTCCAATATCCTCAGCCCATTTAATCATAACTTTTTTGACAGTTTCATTCTCTAAGTCTCTTTCTTTCATTAATTTATAATATCTAGAAATATGTTTGTCTTTTTCTGTGTATACAATCTTATCTATTTCATTGGTATTGTTTTCTATTCCTGGTGTTTTTGAATCTTCCCTGAAGCTTGATTTGAGTTGGCTGTACAGAAACCAATCGATTTTTATGTCTTTCTGATGTATATTTTCTATTGTCTTAAATTTATGTGGAGTTTTTATATCTGTCTCTAATATATCTTTATATGTTATCCATTTCTCTTCTTCATTTCTTGTCCTGTTATAAAATGCTTCTTGTAGGGAGACCCACATAGGAATCTTATTGTTGTAAAATTGTTTTTTAATTTTATGCCAGATTTGTAGAAGTGCCTTCCTAAATATATGATAATTGAAATTTTTGTTGACTTTTTTCTTATTGTACCAGAGGTATGCGTGAAAGTCTTTGAACAGTCTCTCATAAAGCATTTAGTCACATCTCACATCTCCATAGACCTTAGACAAAGAACTTTGGGTGGGAAAAAAACATTTAAGGATCCTTTTTTTGTCAACAGTTCATCGCTAGTTTCCTAAAAATTCCATTACAGTGGTACCTCTACTTACGAAATTAATCCGTTCCGACAGCCA